CTATATTGCCTAAAAAAAATAAAGTTGGAAAAATGGCCATTTTTGGACAAAAATCATGGGTTAACCCCTTTGGAAAAATGTCCATTTTTCGATTTTTTGAACTTCTTGTTTTTCTAGCCTAGAAAGACGTTTTTTCGTTCTAGAATATCGTAAAAGACATTTTGCTAGCCTATATTGCCTAAAGAAAAAAGTTGGAAAAATGGCCATTTTTGGACCAAAACCATAGGTTAACCCCTTTGGAAATATTTCAATTTTTCAACTTCTTGAACTTTGTGTTTTTATAGCCTAGAAAGGCGTTTTTTCGTTGTAGAATATGGTAAAAGACATTTTCCTAGGCTATAGTGCCTAAAAAAAAATGTTGGATATATGGGGATTTTTGGACTAAAACCATTGGTTAAACCATTTTGAAAAATGTGGATTTTTCGACTTTTTGAACTTCTTGTTTTTATAGCCTAGAAAGGCGTTTTTTCGTTGTAGAATATCGTAAAAGACATTTTATCGGCCTATATTGCCTAAAAAAAAAAGTTGGAAAAATGGCCATTTTTGGACTAAAATCCTTTGGAAAAATGTTTATTTTTCGACTCTTTGAAATTATTGTTTTTATAGCCTAGAAAGATGTTTTTTCGTTCTAGAATATCGTAAAAGACATTTTGCTAGCCTATATTGCCTAAAAAAAAAAGTTGGAAACATGGCGATTTTTGAACCAAAACCATGGGTTAACCCCTTTGGAAATATGTCAATTTTTCGACTTTTTGAACTTTGTGTTTTTATAGCCTAGAAAGGCGTTTTTTCGTTGTGCAATATCGTAAAAGACATTTTCCAGGCCTACATTGCCTAAAAAAAAAAAAAGTTTGAAAAATGGCCATTTTTGGACTAAAACCCTGTCGAAAAATGTTAATTTTTCGACTGTTTGAAATTATTGTTTTTATAGCCTAGAAAGACGTTTTTTCGTTCTAGAATATCGTAAAAGACATTTTGCTAGCCTATATTGCCTAAGAAAAAGGTGGAAAAAGGCCATTTTTGGACCAAAACCATTGGTTAATCCGTTTGGAAAAATTTCAATTGATCGACTTTTTGAACTTCTTGTTTTTATAGCCTAGAAAGGCGTTTTTTTTGTCGTAGAATATTGTAAAAGACATTTTGCTGGCCTATATTGCCTAAAAAAAAAGTTTGAAAAATGGCCATTATTGGACCAAAAAGCATGGGTTAACCTCTTTTGAAAAATGTCACTTTTTCGTCTTTTTGAACTTCTTGTTTTTATAGCCTAGAAAGGCTTTTTTTCGTTCTAGAATATCGTAAAAGACATTTTCCTGGCCTATATTACCTAAAAAAAGAAGTTGGAAAAATGGCCATTTTTGGACCAAAACCATTTGTTAACCCCTTTGGAAAAGTTTCAAGTTTTCGACTTTTTGAACTTCTAGTTTTTATAGCCTAGAAAGGCGTTTTTTCGTTGTAGAATATGGTAAAAGACATTTTCCTGGCCTATATTGCCTCAAAAAAAAAGTTGGAAAAAATGGCCATTTTTGGACCAAAACGATGGGTTAACCCCTTTGGAAAAATGTCATTTTTTTGACTTTATGAACTTCTTGTTTTTATAGCCTTGAAAGACTTTTTTTCGTTCTAGAATATCGTAAAAGACATTTTGCTGGGCTATAGTGCCTAAAAAAAAATGTTGGATGTATGGCCATTTTTGGATCAAAACAATGGGTTAACCCGTTTGGAAAAATGTCAATTTTTTGACTTTTTGAATTTCTTGTTTTTATAGCCTAGAAAGGCGTTTTTCGTTCTAGAATATCGTAAAAGACATTTTCTTGGCCTATATTGCCTAAAAAAAAAGGTTAGAAAAATGGCCATTTTTGGACCAAAACCATGGGTTAACCCCTTCGGTAAAATGTCAATTTTTCGACTTTTTGAACTTCTTGTTTTTATAGGCTAGGAAGGCGTTTTTTTCTTTCTAAAATATACTGAAACATATTTTAACCCTATTTTGCCTAAAATAAAGAGATGGAAAACTTGCCAATTTTTGACCTAAGCCATGGATTATCCCCCTTGGAAAAATGTAAGTTTTGCTTTCTAACGTATCGTGAAACACATTTTCCCGGTGTAATTGGCAAAAAGAAAGAATGGTTCAGTTTCCAGTTTTTCACCAAAACCATAGACTATCCCTGTTGGTAAAATCACAACTTTTCGACTTTTCTTAAGTTTGTTTTTTTTTTAGTCTAGAAAGGCGTTTTTTTCTTTCTTTTATATCGTGAAACTGATTCTGCTGTCTTCTTTTCCCTAAAATAAAAAAGAAGCAAAAATTGCAAATTTTTGATCAAAACCATGGACTACCCCTTTCGAAAAATTACAGTTTTTCGACTTTTTTAAACTTATTGTTTTTATAGTGTAGAAAAGCGTTTTTTCATTCTAGAATATCGAGAAACATCTTATGCTGTCCTATTGTACCTAAAATAAAAAGATGGAAGAATTGCTAATCTTTAATCAAAACCATTGACTAACCCCTTTGGAAAAATCCCAGTTTTTTGACTTTCTTAAATTACTGTTTTTTATATCTTTAAAGGAGGTTTTTCTTTGTAAAATATCATGAAACACATTTTCCTGGCCAATTTTACCAAAAATAAAAAGAATGGAACAGTTGCCTTTTTTTGACCAAGACCAGAGACTATCCCTTTTCGAAAAATCCCAATTTTTCGACTTCTTTTGACTTGTTGTTTTTTTAGTGTCGAAAGGCCTTTTTTTCCGTTCTAGAATATCTTGAAACACATTATGCTGTCCTTTTCTGCCTAAAATAAAAAGAAGGAAAAATTGCCAATTTTTCATCAAAACCGTGGACTAATCCCTTTGGAAAAATGCCCTCCTTTCGAATTTTTTTCTTCTTGTTTTTCATTGTCTAGGAAGGCGTTTTTTTCTTTCTAAAACATACTAAAAAACATATTTTAACCCTATTTCGCCTAAAATAAAAAGATGGAAAATTGCGAATTTTTGACCAAAACCATTCACTATCCCCTTTGGAAAAATCCCAGTTTTTGGACTTTTTTGAATTACTGTTTTTATAGTCTTTAAAGGAGGTTTTTCTTTCTAAAATATCATGAAACACATTTTCCTAGCCCATTGTACCAAAAACGAAAAGAATCGAACAATTGCCAAGTTTTGACTAAGACCATGGACTATCCCCTTTCGAAAAATCCCAATTTTCGACTTCTTTTAACTTGTTGTCTTTATAGTCTAGAAACCAATTTTTGACCAAAACCGGGGACTAACCCCTTTGAAAATTCCAATTTTTCCACTGTTTTAACTTCTTGTTTTTATGGTCTAGAAAGGGGTTTTATTTTTCTAGAATATCGTGAAACACCTTTTCCTGGCCTATTTTGTTTAAAATAAAAAGACGGAAACTCGTTTTTACTTTCTATAATATCCTGAAATACATTTTCCTGACCTTTTTTGCTTAAAAGAAAAAGATGGAAAAATTGCCAACTTTTTGACTGAAACCATGGACTAAACCCATTTGGAAAAATCCAATTTTTCAGGTGGACCGGAAGCCCTATGAATGGCTCACAGGATTTGTTTAGAAAACAATAGTTAGCCCTAACCCAACAAAACTAACAATGAACCCCCACTCTGAAACAATAGAGCTTCGGGTCTTGGTCAAAAATATGAAATGTTTCCCATCCATTTATTTTAGGAAAAATAGAACAGGAAAATGTTATTGTCGATATTCTAGATAGAACGAAGCCTTTCTATACTATAAAAATATAAACGTAAAAGGAAATCGGAAAAACTGCATTTTTGCGAAGGTGTCATATTTTTATTTAAGGCAAAATAGGGGAAGAAAATGAGTTTGGTGATATTCTACATAGGACAAAAAGCCTTTGTAGACCATGAAAACATCGAGTTAAAAGCGCTGAGAAAATTGCATTTTTGCAAAGGGGTTAATCCATGGTTTTGGTCAAAAATTTGAAATAATTTTCATATGTTCATTTTAGGAAAAATAGGGCAAGAAAATGTGTTTGATTGTTTGTTTGTTGTTGTTTTTTTTTCTTAACAGAAAGAAAGCCTTTCTATGCAAAAGAAACATTATCTTGAAAGAAGTAAGTTGAAAAAAATGCATTTTTGCCAAGGGCGGTTAGTCCATGGTTTTGGTCAAAAATATGAATTTTTTTCCATCTTTTCCCATTAGGAAGAATAAGGTAGAAAATGTGTTTGTCGATATTCTAGACAATAAAAGGGCCCTTTTAGACTATAAAAATGTCGACTTAAAAAACTCGAAAAAATGCATTTCTCCAAAAGGGGTTAGTCTATGGTTTTGGTCAAAGCTTATTTTAGGCAAAATAGGCCAAGAAAATGGGTTTGGTGGTATTCTAGACGGAAAAAAAGCCTTTCTATGCTATAAGAGCGTTATCTTAAAAAAAGTTGAAAAAAAAGCATTTTTGCAAAGGTTGGTTAGGCTATGGTTTTGGTTAAAACCATCTATTTATTTTAAGGAAAATAGAACAGGAAAATGTCATTGACGGTATTTTAGATAGAAAAAAAGCCTTTCTAGACTATAAAAACATTAAAAACTGTTTTTTTTGTCGCGTCCGAAATTTACAATAACTGACGAAAAAAATTGAAGAAAAAAAATAGCAAGAACGGGAAGAAAAAAAGGAGGAAAGGGGAAAATCAATGGTTGTACACAATTTTACATTGACTGCTTTGGAGATTTTGGCCAAAAAAGCTTTACCGCGCGAAGAGCTCTGTTTGGCGGTAACATATTTAAAATCCAGTTATATAAATTTTAGAAAATTTTGATGGATGCTTGGCATATTATATACGATTAGACAATTACTGAAGAGAATTTTGCCACCTAGTTTAATACTTCCAGTTAACGATATGTTTACAATATTCAACTAAAAACTACTCTTCAAATTCGCGAGAAAACTGAATGAAACGTGCACAATCAATCAAACAAGTAGATTATAAGTATGAAGTTATTCTCCGTCATTTCCATGTTCCTCATCTTAGCTACTAACATAAGGCCAGTATCTTTGGTAGGTTCCAGTCCACCCTTCATGGAAACGAGTGTCGGAGTTGCCTACATTGGTGATGAAACGAATCCAGAGATAGGTGTTGGAAGTAAAGGAACCAGACGGAATACTGTGCCCCGACCAGCCGTTAGTAAGCACTGTATCACCAAATCTATAAACAAGCCACAAATAAAAGTTAAGACTTACAAGAGATATTGCCTGAAAGAGGCGACCAGTTGCTGCAAAATTTTTTTTAAAAAATTAATAATAATACTGTAACACGTGACATCAGGACGTAACATAAACGTAACGTAACATGACACAACATAACAACGTTTTTATTCACGATGATGAGCAGATTACTATGTTCCTATTACGCTTCTTAAAATTCAATTTCTCTCCCCTCCCACCCTCATTATATTTTCTACTGGTCTAAGCTTTTTAGGGTTGGACAAAATTCCCCAACAGCTCTCACTGGTCAATTGGAGGTCATATGGCATCAAGC